TGTCTAAGGGGCAGTTGGATAAAATTTATTCCCAATTTGTGGGTTTTCTTTTTACACTGCTGGTGATTTCTTTGGATGTGCAGAAACTTTTCTATAAGGTGAGATCCCAGTTGTTGATTCTTTGAAGTATTTCCCACGCAGTTTGGTTTCTTTCATGAACTCTCTACCTACCCCTATGTCTTTGAGAGTTTTACCTACCTTCTCTTGCAGATTTAGTGTTTCTATTTTGATATTTGGATCTTTGATCCATTTTCACCTTGGTTTAGTGCCTGGTGATAGACATGGGTCTAGTTTTAGTCTTCAGTATGTGGAAAGCCAGTTTTTCCAGCACCATTTGTTAAAGAGGCTATCTTCCTTCCAGTGAACATGTTTGGCCCCTTTGTCAAAAATATGGTGGCTGAGTATGTTTGTAGCTGTGTCTGCATCTTCTAACCTGTTCCATTGATCTTCAGGTCTGTATTTTTTTTTTTTTTTGCCAGTACCATGCTGATTTTATCACAGTAGCTTTGTAGTATAATTTCAAGTCAGGGATTGTGATGCCTCATGCCTTTCCTTTGTTTCCGAGGATTGCTTTTGATATTCTAGGCCTCTTCTGCTTCCAGATGAATTTTAGGAATGTTTTCTCTAGATCTGTGAGGTATACTAATGGTATTTTAATTGGGATTGCACTGAATCTGTACAACAATTTTGGGAGTATGGCCATTTTCACAATGTTGATTCTTCCTACCGATAAGCAAGGAACATCTTTCTATTTTCTGAAATCCTCTTTGATCTCTTTTTTCAAGAGTACTGTAATTTTCACTGTATATATCTTTTACTTCTGTTAGTTTGATTCCTAAGTATTTCATTTTTTTAGATGCTATTTTGAAAGGTTTCACTAATTTCTCGCTCAGTCTGCTTGGTGTTTGTGTATAGGAATGCTACTGATTTTTGAATGTTGACTCTATCTAGCTACGCTACTGAATTTAGTTGTTAAATCTATAAGCCTTTTGGTGGAGTTTTTGGGGTCTTCTATGTAAAGTATCATGTCATCTGCAAATAATGATAATTTCACTTCTTTTCCTATCCTTATTCCTCTTATTTCTCTCTCTTGTCTAATTGCTGTAGCTAATATTTCCAGAACTATATTGAAGAGGAGTGGTGACAGTGGACATCCTTGTCTTATTCTTGACTTTAAAGGGAAAGCTTTCAGTATTTGACCATTTAAAATGACATTAGCTGTTAGTTTCTCATAGATGGCTTTTATCACATATATTGATATTTATATACCTCTTCAACCAATTCAGACCCAATCACTGTATTGTAAGGAGACAGCCACTACATCAGTATCTAGAAAGTCAATCATATTATCAATCATGTAAACTAAAACTTGTTTTAATCATTTTACCTTTTCAATGACCCATCAAGACTATGACATATTACTATTAACAGTAGGCTGAGACATAAAGGATGAAGGAAGAGAAAAAGAAGAGGAAAAAGAGTAGATCAGAAAAAATAGGAGAGGTGGGTGTGGTGATGCACACCTGTAATGCCAGCACTCGGGAGGATGAGGCAGGAGGATCATTGGAGTTCAAGGCCAACCTGGGATACGAAGTGAGCTCCAGGCCAGCCTGAAATGCATAGCGAGACCCTGTCTCAAAAAAAGCAAAACAAGAAAGAATAGGAGAAAAAAGGTAATAGCAAATGAAAGAAAGAAAAGTCAAACTTTGTTGATATTATTTTTATAACTGGAGTAAAGGGCTGATGGAGAAGTCTAAAAATATTTGCTGGGGTTGGAGAAGGGACACAGAGAGAGGAAAGTATAATTGACGAATGAGAGAAGATTTGAAAAGGTCAGAACCTCTTCGTAAGCTAATAGTAAACTTGTGCGTGAATCCTCTATACACAACTTTTGGTGAGGCTTAGCCTGACTTGTCCATGAAATACACTATTTAAAGCACTGGTTAACTGTTATTCTCCTCATATATACAGAATAAAAAATATATGTGTACACAAACACACACACACACTCATTCACTATGCTTTCCAGTGCACATCCTCCAAGCTTCCCTCATGCATCTCTGTTTCTAGTTGGACATGGTGGATCATATACTTTAGATTGTATACTCTAGATCATATATTTTAAAGGAGTGAATATTTTAGGATGTGAAATCTACCTTAATAAAGCAGTTATTTTAAACTTGGATAATTGGCTAATAAAAAATAAGAACAAATACTATGGTGGAACCATATACAGAAATAACATTGATAAATAACTGTAATGTAATATCGGTGCCAAGATAAGGAAGAAAAAAAAAATGGAAGTCAGTCACGTGTCAGTTAATGACACGGACCTGTTCTGAGAAATGCACTAAACTTGTTATTGTGCAAATGTCACCATAAACTGTACTTACACAAACCTAAATTATACAGCCTATTATTATTAGGATACATGTGGTGTGATGAAAACCTATAGCGAATGTTTAAATTTTGATACAAATTTTATTGCTGTAAAAAACACTGCTGTCAATCCCCCTCAAAATACGTCCCCGCACTTTGAACGCAGATCATCATTCTTGCCAATTGCTGAAGCAGTTCTGGAAGCCCTCTTTTGTGTCTTCAGCTGCACTGTCATGACCACCCTAATGTCCCAAATTAATTCAACACATTTACTCTCATGGTTATTCTTACTTTGGGAAAGAGCTAGAAGTCATACAGTGCCAGAGCTGATGAAGAAGGTGGATACACCATAATGTTTTTAATCAGTCTGCCTTTCCACTGGATGGCACTCTGCATTCACTGTAACTTTGATCAGTCCTCCTAAAGACACTCACAAAAAACAACTTCTAGAACTGCTTCAGAAAGTGGCAAGAATGAAAGAATGACAGTATAAGTATGTTCAAAACAAGGGGGGTATTTTTATGAGGTGGCAATGTGTCTTTTATTGTAATACATTTTAAAATTTAAATATTCACCGTAAATTTTGATTACTTCATGTATGCTATAGCCTTTTTCTTTTTAAAGTATCTTTTCATCTTAAAAAATCCTTTAGGATGAAACAACTTTATTAAACCAAAAATCTGCACACTACACAATTTATAAACTTAAAATGTAAGACTCAACAGACCCCATCATATTGACAGAGTTGTACAACTACAATCACAAACAAATTTAGGTCATTTTTGCCATCCCAAATCAAAACACCCTACCTACTTGTCATCAGCTCCCAATCCTTCCACACTAAATCTAGGTAACCACTGAGCTACTCTATTTTCACAAATTTTTCTATTCTGGAATTTTTTTTTTCTTTTAGAATAGACCATGCCCACAACGATAAAGACCTTAACATATCCAAAGAAATATAAATCCTGCAAAGTGAGCTCTCATGCCATACTAGGATGAAAGCAACACCAACAACAGAAACACAGAATATAATTACTATTTTTTCTTTTTGTTGTCTCGCTTTTCTCTTGCCTATTAAATTTTTCATATGAGGGAAATCATACAATGTACAAACTTATACACCTGATTGACTTCATTTAGCATTATATCTCAAATTGCATACATTTTCCTACAGATACCTCAAGTTCATCTTTCTGAATGACACACATTTTCTTTACTCAGTCATCTACTGATGGGTGTATAAGCTGTTTCCAAATTTTGGCTATTATGAATTATGCTGCTATAAACATAGGTACACAGGGCTGGGGATTTAGCTCAGCGGCAAAAGCACCTGCCTGGCAAGCGCAAGGTCGTGAGTTCGGTTCCCGGTACCGGAGAAAAAACCAAAAAAAAAAAAAACAAAACATAGGTACACATACATCAGTGTAATATGATGTTTTTAACTCTTTGGGGAAGACACGCAGAAAGAGAATAGCTGAGTCAAATGGAATTTCTATTTTCAGTGTTTTGAGGATCTCCATACTGATTTCCATAGTAGTTATACCATTTTACACTCCCACCACCAATGAAGAACTTTTCCTTTCTCCCCACAGCTTCACCGACATCTGTTATTGGTTTATTTCTTGATGGTAACCATTCATTCGGGGTGAGATAGTTTTTTTTGTTTTGTTTTGTTTTTTTTGAGGCAGGTTCTTACTATGTAGTGCAGGCTGGCCTTGAGCTCACTTATGTCGCCCAGGCTACACAAACTCACAGTGATCCTCCTACCTCTGCCTCCCAAGTGCTATGATTACCGGTGTGCACCACCACATCCGGCCCGATAGAATCTTAATATTGTTTTAATTTATGATTCTCAAATGGGCAGCCTATGTATGCTATAGCCTATTTTTAATTTGTTTTAACTTTTTAAACTTTTTATTGAAAATTAACACAACATGCATATTAGGGTAGGCCTATACAATCAGAATCATCAGTATCACCAATATCCTCTTCCGTATCTTTTATCACTGGAAGGTCTTCAGAGGCAATAACTTACATGGGGCTATCATCTCCTATAATAACAATGCCTTCTTATGAAATACCTCATGAAGGGCCTACCTCAGACTGTTTTACAGTTAACTTTTTATTTAAGTAGAAGGACTACATGTTAAAATAACAATAAGTACAGTAAATACATAAACCAGTAACAGCTATTTATTATCATTAGAGTATTATGTGCTCTATACTTTTACAATGACTGGCAGCTCAGCAAATTTGTTTACACAGTATTAGCCATAAATGGAAGTAATACATTATACTGTGATGGCTATGGTGTCACTAGGCAATAGAAATTTTTCAGCTCCAGTATAATATTTTGGGACCACTGCTATATTTATAATCTTCTATTAATCAAAACATTGTTACATGTACATGAGCATATACTATTATAATGTCCTTGTAATACACATAAAGTGATATTTTACTTGAAATTAGACCATGATTAAATTAAAAGAAAATGTTCCTTATACAACTATTTCACAAATATTTATTGTATGAAGATTTATAGCTATTTGAGCTTTGGTCATCCTTTAAGGCTTAAAATGTATACATGCCTTCAAATAATTATAAAATACACTTACCAAAACAGAATAAATATGTAAACATCGGTAAACAGGAGAAAAATCAACGAGATCCTGAACACTTAAGACCTGAAAAGTAAAGCCATTTTAAAAAATTATACATCAAACTATTAGTCTCCTACTGGATAACATAAAGTTAAAAAATAGACAAGGACACTCACATGTTGTATTATATTTATTAAGTCTTACCATAGAAAGTATACCATATAAATATACCTATTTTATTTCAATATTTTATTACAATAAAATACACCTATTTTATTTCTGGCATTTTGTCTTCATATAATTATCATCACTGTAGGTCGTTTTAGATGATAAATTTATCTTTATTTTGATTGGCAGATTACCAGAAAACTGCTATAGACAATTAGACACTTTATTACTGATCTTATAGAAATGATTCAGGAGTTGATAGAGCAAAAACAAGGTCCTTCTCCAAGCAGCTATGTCATATGGTTCACCACTACTACTTCAAGTTAAAAACATTATCACTGTTATTTCGACACAAAGAAAGCAAAAACCACAGCTACTTGAAACTATGACATGACATCACCAATTTCTTTTTTTCTTCCAGTACCAGGAATCGAACTCACAACCTTGCACTTGCCAGGCAGGTGCTGTGCCACTGAGCTAAATCCCCAGTCCTGACATCACCAATTATAACATGTATACTGATTTTTGCTATGTTAAAAACTGAAAAAATACAGCTTTGAATAGTTCAAATACAGTTAATAGTATGAAGTTTTAGAAATATGTAAACTCTCTTTAAAAAACACATTTCTATTCTCATTGATCCTCAGAGTGGATCTAAATCATCTTTATTATGTTACTTATTAGGAAAAATGACAGAAACAAAATGCAGTAATAGTAAAAGAAATCTAAAAAGCAGAAAAATGAGTTACTCTAAGAGCAAGGATTTGGCATTAAAGCATAATAGCAATACTCTCAGCAGTTAAAGATAAGTAAAACAGAATGGAGAAAATTTACGCAAGACTAGATCATCTATTTTTACCATGGATAGCTATCTCAGAAGAGAACAGAGACTCTGATTATTATGAACAAAAACACAGACTTAAATAAACATTCATTTCAAGGGGCTAATCAAGACACTATTTCAACATTAGAAATTTAACTGGTTGGGCATGGTGGTGCACACCTGTAATCCTAGCACTCAGGAGGGTGAGTCAGGAGGATCCCTGTTTGAGGCCAGCCTGTGCTACACAGTGAGTTCAAGGCCAAACTAAACTATATAGCAAAACCCTGCCTCAAAAAAAAAAAATAAAAAAGAAAAAGAAGTTAATTTAACTGTTTTAGACTGTTCATTTGTCTGTATTCAGAAAAGTGACAGACATCTACTGTGTATGTACTGACATATATCTATGTTTCACATATAAACACATATTCATGCATACATATACACACATATACACATACACGTTCAATCTCATCCTGAGACATATAGCAGAAACGCGTATGGGAAACACTCACTTATTTTCCCATCCAAATAGGTAGCCATAAGCACATATTCAAACAGTTCAATTACCACTTTTTACTTGTAAGGACCCTAATTAGGTCCTTTAAAAATTTTAAAACATGTACTAATAAGAAAGTTAAAAAAAATAAAAACTGAAAACAAAATCTCACTGACAAGGCCAAACTTATCAATGACCAGGAATAAATAGGCTCTCTATGATACTAACTTCAGAAAGAATTTAAGGAAGATATAAAGATAATCTTAACAGAAGACTGCAGAGAGAATTTAAAAAGCAATCAGATAAGAGAATGAATTTGGATATAAAGATGATAAAAAGTTAATAAACATAGTTTCAAGGTTTCCAAACTTTTTAGGACTTAAAAAATCCTCCAATCATAATAGAATTATACTGCAATAAACACCAACTGAAAAAAACAGATGTAAGTTCATCAAAAATAGGATAATTGGCAAGATCAAGACATTATGAAATAAAACCTCTGCCACAGATAAATATGGGTGATTACTAAAAAAAAAAAAATCATTAGGTTTAAACTTTCCTGCTAATATGGCAGAACACCTGGGTTCAACTATCAATGGTCTACAGATATAATCTACAACATATCCTACTTGCCCATTAATGATATAGCCTCACAAGTGGGAAGACTCCATGGTATGTTACAATTTGTTTTGTTTTGTTTTTTTTTGGTTTTTGGTTTTTTCTCCGGTACCAGGAACCGAACTCACGACCTTGCGCTTGCCAGGCAGGCGCTTTTGCCGCTGAGCTAAATCCCCAGCCCCGGTATGTTACAATTTGACTGACAGAAATTCCATCTGCACATGCAAGACTAAGAGTCACAGTGATATACATTACAATCCAAAGGAAAGAAATCCCATTACCTCCTCTTCATTCTCATCCTCTTCCTCAAGAACATGTTTCAGTACAATTTCCTTTCTTTCTTCTGGAATTCTATCATTATTTATATACATATTCTTCCCAAATTTTACATTATTTTGCTTCTGCAGAGCAACACTGAAGATTTTCTGCTGCTGTGCCTATTTTGGAGAAAGTAAAATTCAGAATATTTCAAAATTTATTCTGGTCAAAATTGATTCCAAAATTTGTTCATAATAGTTTCTCGTATTTTTAATGTAGCTGTACAATCTATAGCAACATCATCTTTTTAATTAACTGTTTATGCCTTCTTTCAATCAGTCTTGGAGGGAATTATCAATTTTATTTGATTTTGTTTGGTTTTGTCTTTGTTTTTTGAGACAGGGTCTTGCTATGTAGTTCAGGCTGGTCTTGAACTCTGCATGTAGTCCAAACTGACCTTGAACTCATGGCAATCCTCCTGCCTCAGCCTCCCAAGTGCTGAAATTACAGGCATGCACCACCATGCCCAGCATCAATTTCATCTGAAAAGATGAAGAACCAGCTTTTGGTTTTATTCATCTCCCTACTGTATTTTGTTTCTACTATGTTGACTTCTGATCTTATTTTGACTATCTCCTTTTTTTCCTCTGAGTTTAATTTTTAGTTTCTCTAATGTCTTGAAATGACTACTGAGATCATTTAAACACTTCTTAATTTGTGAATTTAAGGCTGTAAATTTTCCTTTAAACACTGTGCTTTCCTAACCACAAAAGTTTATGGATTTAGAACCTCTGGATTCTTTTCTTGAACTGTCTTTGAATCCTACTCTCTTACATCTTCTTAGTCTGTACTTGTTCCAGGCTACCAATCTGATGTTAGAACTCTCACCCATTGGCCTGCCATTTCTGTTCCTATACTTATGACTCATATATAACCATATTCTTATCATCATACTAGTAGAGAAAATGAGCTCAGGCCTGGCTTTCATAGAAAAGAGAGGGAGTAAGTTTGACTTAAGCTCCTTTGTGGCTTCTTTCCATTTATATGAAGTAAAGTTATTTTTTGTCAATCAAGGATTTAACACTAAGCTGAACAAAACACACTATCAAAAATATTTTGAAAATTCAGTCTTCTACAGCCCATCTACAGATAAACAAGGGTTAACTACAATTGAAAAAATTAAGCAATTTAAAAAACATTATTGGCCAGGTTTGGTGGCACACTCCGTAATCCCAGCCCTCAAGAAGCTGAGGTAAGTGAGACCAGCCTGGGATACACAGAGTTCAAGGCCAGTATGAACTGCATAGTGAAACTCTTGCTCAAAAAAAAAGATAAAAACATTACTGTAAATTAAAAAGAAAACTGAAAAAAAAAAAAAAAACTCACTGACTAGGCAGAACTTATCAATGACCAAGAATAATTCCATATTGTGTATATAGTACTAATTTTAAGAAAGTAAACTGATTCTGGTAAAGAATTCTCAAAATCAATACATCCTCAAAGTAAACAACCTATTCAACAAAGTAAATCAAAGTAAGAGTGGTCAGGCACAAAAGGTCACATATTATATGGTTCCATACAAATGAAAGTGCCAGAATAGGTAAATCCACACAGACATAACACAGACTAGTGGTGGCTACAGGCTGGGAGGAGGAAGCAATGGGAAGCAACTGCTTATGTAGTTTCCTTTGCAATGATGAAAAGTGTTTTGAAACTAGATAGTAATGATGGTTGCACATTTGAACTAGTTGCAGCTGAAATGTTTACTTTAAAAGTTAATTTTCTTATTTGAGCTTTATCTCAATTAAAAAGAAAAAGAGCACAGAGTATACTACTGTGTAATGCTGAGATAATGAGAAGTATAATGGAGATTATCTGATTTATAGATAATCCTTTAAAAGGTTGGGATGTAGCATTTGTACTGAATTTTAATTTCCTCTGATCTAACCATGGTCTGGTACACATTAACTTCTAGAAAAATACTGTAGCTGGGCATGGTGGCACATGCCTACAATCCCAGCACTCCGGAGGCTGAGGCAGGAGGATCATGGGGAGTTTGAGACCAGCCTGGGCTACAAAGTGAGCTCAAGGCCAGCCTGAACTTCATAACGAGACCCTGTCTCAAAAAGACAAAAAAAAAAAGAAGAAAAATACTGTAAAATTTTCTCTAAAGTATTTTGGAATAGTAGTTGGGGAAACATCAGGCATTAGAAATCATGTGAGAACTGTTTTATTCCTACGATAAAATTACTAGGAGTTTGAATAGCTGACTCTTGAAAATTTTAATTACACTCACTTTTAAACTTTTCATCATTGAAAATTTCAAATGTAAACAAAGTAAACAGATTAATACAATGAACTCCCAGGTACCAATCAATTATCTTCAACAAATACGTTTATGGGGGCTGGGGATTTAGCTCAGCGGCAAAGCGCCTGCCTGGCAAGCGCAAGGTCGTGAGTTCGGTTCCTGGTACCGGAGGGGGGGAAAAAAAAATACATTTATGTTCTTGTTTCATCTACACATCTACCCATTCATGGTTTTTTACATTTTCCTTGGGGTAAGATTTATACACATTGAAATACAAACATTACAACTATATACTTTTGACATTACAACTATATAATTTTATCATGGTATAAAATATTTCCATTTCCCCTATTCCCTTTCCTAAGCAATTTCCCTACCCAAGCTTCTGGCTGCCTATCACTGTGATTTTTTTTAAAATCTTGTTTAGCCAGCTTTAGAACTACATTTAAACCTAATCACTCAGTTTGTACCTTTTTTGGGCTCAACTTCTGTGGCTTAACATATCTGTGAGATACATGTGTTGCTGCATTTTCATTAATCCATTCCTTTTAATTGCTAAGTAGTATTCCACCTCATGAATACACCACAATCAGTGTTCCATTCTCCTTTTGATAGCCACTTGTGTTGTTTCCAATTTTTTGGCTAATTGTGAACAACAGTCTATGAACATTATTTCTCACTGATAAACAGAAGTGGAATTGACAGCTCAAAAATAATATTAACTTTACAACTTCTAAATATCTTCCCATTGTTTTAATCCTTTTATTATTGAATTGTAGCTTTTAAATTCAAAGCTAATACTTTGCATTTACCTTTAAAAAGGAACAATTTAGAACCTTAGCATAAAAGAGCTTCCACTTGCCTCTGTGGCTGCCGCTTTTTAGCTAATTTTATAGTAGATTGGCTACTGGGAAAAGTTAATGTAACACCACATGGGTAGAGAAGATTGTAAGAGGTCAGTTGGTGAGTAAGTGAAGAATTCAAGTTAGATTGAATTTATTCGAATAAGGAATAACTATATACCCAAAGAAAACACTGACAAAATCCATTCCAAACAAGAACTAGGAAAGGTAAGAAAAGGGTAAAGCTACACAAAAACAAGCATTTCATGTAAGTTAAAGAAATAAACTTTTGATTATTTTATATCCTAGATTACTGAACAGTATTAAATTCAAACTCTTTTTAATCTCACCTGTTTCATTGCTGTTTCTCCTATTTTGTCAGAATGTTTTCGAATGCTTTCCAAAAAGTCTTTGAGGTCAGACATGGAGATTTCTTTAATATCCTCACGGAGTTTAGGAAGATTTTCTATCATTAACTGACAAAACCGGTATTGACTAACGCGGGGAAAATATACCTTCTCTAATTGTTCCATAGTTTTTAGGGCAGAATAATACCTGTGAGAAGTTAAAAAGAAAACTCTATAACAAGTTCTTATCATATAAATTTTATAATTTAAGTGAATTTAAATAATCAGTTAAGCCTCCCACAAGAAAAAGATTCACAGTGCCTGGGGATGTAGCTCATTAGTACAGTGCTGTCCTAGCATTTGCAAGGCCCAGTATTTGATCCTAGCACTGCAATCAATGTAATAGTTAAAATCAACTATTATTTCTATTTACTAAGAACAAACTACATATAATATACAAATCACAGAATCAAGGACATTATTATAGTCATCACAGTATCTTAAATACACAATTTGGAATTATAAAAGTTATAATATTTAATTTCATACTATCTCTCCTACCATAATATACATCCACATACTATCACCATTAAAAATATATATATATATATAGCACAGATTCAATTTTAACTAAAGAAAAATTTGTTTTCCTATTTTGGGAAATTTTCACACTACTATTTAAGGAATCAGAAATATTATTAAGTGTCACAAAAACTAGGTGAAAAACCACTAATAAAATGATTTCAACAAATATTTATAGAATGCCTACTATTTATAATGTACTGTGTGATATGCTGGGTATATAGCACTTAGTAAAGTATAGCCTATGCCCTAGAGAACAGATGTATACTTTCTTTTTTTTTTAATACTTTCACATACATAATTTAATTTTCTTTAGGCTTCTATGAGGTATACAGGTATTCTTGTTATGATTTAGGCCTAAAAGGTCCTCCAAAAGTCTGAGAATATTCTGTTCTCCATCAATGAGTTCATGGGTAAACTCTATTAAAAGGAGGGGCCTGATTGGAAGTGGATCATTGGGGTGTGACCTGGAAGGATGCATTGTTGCCCCAGCTCCTCCTTTGCTCTCTACTTCCCAGTCGCCATAACATGAGCAGCTTCTCTCTGCCACAACAGTCTATCATTGCCATTTTTACCTTGGAGCAAGCCAACCATTGACTAATTCCACTGAAACTACGGGCCAAAATAAACCTTTCCTTCTTTAAATTAGAGGTGTCATGTATTTTGTCCAGTAGGAAAAGTAAGACAACTTCAATGGCAGATATTGCTATTAACATTCTATAAGATGAGAAAACTGAAATAATATATAATTTGGAAAATATAATTAATTAGTAGCAGGACAAATTTTTCTCTTTCCCACAACACTATCACCAATGTCCATTTGAGAGAAGGTAGAGGAATTTTTAAAACTTGATCAAATAGTAGTTTATATTTTCTTATCGGGTTAAAAATATTAAACATGGGAAAAGGTACTATCTAATGAACAAAAAACCAAAACATATTAAATTGAAAGGACAGTAAGTTCAAAGCCATTTAAGTATACCTAATGTTTTTTAACATTCTTTTTTTCTAGTGTGTATTCTCAATAACAGCGTATTTTGCAAAGTGTCACAAAATATTAGCACTAATTTTAAAAATAAGCTATCTAAATTTCATCTTGGTTATTTAAAAACCATCAAACTTGTTATGCAACTATTTGGTCAGAAATTAAGATATTTAGATGATGATGGTAGGAGAGATGTCTGTATTTATATCAAGTAAAATAATGAACTACTATGTATCTTTTCAGGATAATTCATCAAAATTTTATGCAATATATAATATTGCATAATCAATAATCCAACTACACTATTTCATCCTAACCTACTTCCTAATTTCATTTGATTTAGGTATATTCCAAAAATGTTCTCTACAACAGGTAAAAGTGCTAAAAATTCATAGAAACATCTATAATGTATTTCAGCTTTAAATAATGGATACTAAATGAAAAGTACTACCACTAGTTTTACAACATACCACAGAGACAGTCAACTAACTCCACAACACAACTGTGTCTCCCTTCACACTGCTCTTCTCTCACCCTCCATCCCAGGACTTCCATGAGTCACTGAGACATCAAAAGATCTACCTAGTTCCCAAACATGTGCAACCTAGAATGGTGAGGAGTTAATGTCACCTATTAGACTCAAATCTTAACCAATGAGAAAAGAATTTGAAAGATAAATTTTCTTTCCTCTTCCAGGATGTAATGTTCTGATTTACAATAATTTATGCAACCCCAACAAGGCATTTAAAACTCATCAGTAGCTAGGTGTGGTGGCGCATGCCTGTAATCCCAGCACTCAGGAGGCTGAGGCAGGAGAATCATTCCAAGTTTGAGACCAGCCCGGGCTACAAAGTGAGCTCAAGGCCAGCCTGAACTGCACAGTGAGACCCTGTTTCAAAAAGACAAAAAATAAATAAATAAAATTCATCAATATAAAGCAATTAATAATAACTTGCCTTCCTCTTTGCTCTCCCAAATTCCTTGTCTCATTACCCTCCCAACCCAACTTTGGAGATTACCTAAAATTATACTCCCTAAAAATACTAGTATATAAAACATAAGATTATTCCTCAGGTTCTACTTTTTAGAAGTCCAGAGTAAGTACACGAAAAGTTCATAATCTTAAAGAGTAAAAGTAAGAGATCAGCATCTTCTCTAAAATTTAATAATAAATCTCCTAAACTTTATTTCTACATGGAAACAAAATCTGCATCATAATAGATTATCATTTCTCTTTTGGTACACACAATGCTATTTTTAAAAATTTTAACAGTAGCACATAACTACTAGAAATATGAGAAAAAATTTAAAATATGCACATTCTGATGCTACCATAAAATAATTACTTCATTAACTTTGGACACATCCCCTTCTATTTACTCATACTACTCAACAATATAGAATGGAATTTACCTTATAAAGTTTTTAAAAAATAGAGTACTACAACTGTGCACTACCTAAAAATAGAGTACTACAACTGTGCATTTTTAAAAAATAGAGTACTACAACTGTGCATTACAAATTTACCTTATAAAGTTTTTAAAAAATAGAGTACTACAACTGTGCATTCATGAAGAATTCACTCAATAGGCTTGACGGTAGAGTAGACACCAGAGAAGAAATGATTGATGGAAATGAAGACAGGTGAACAAAAATTATGCAAGATGAAGCATATTCAAAGAATGGGAAAAAGTGACAGTAATGTCATAGATTATTAGAAACAGATTCAGTAAACCTGAAGGTCCAAAATATATCAAATTGAAACACAGAAAGAAAAAATACTACAAAAGGAAAAATTAGTTCCTAAAAATTATTAGACAACATTAAACAATATATATATAACTGGAAATTTCAGAATGAAAGGAGATGGAAAAATGGGGCAGCAAAAAATACAAGAAGAGATGAAAGCTGAAAATTTTCCAAAAATTGATGAAAGATATAAGATCATGGATACAATAAACTAGACAGATCCCAAGCAATATAACTACAAAGGAATATACTGACATATACATAATCAAAGTTAAAATTGAAATGAAAGTAAAACAAATCCATTTTTCAATACACAAAAGCAGGAAATCTATCTTCAGGTATGCACTACAATACTAAATGAAGTTCATCATACTAAAGGCAATCAAATCAAAGAGAAGCCTGGATCTGCAGAAAGGGAAAATGAGCAATAGAAATGATAAATTACTAAGTACAAAAGAATCTACTGAATTATTATTCATATGTATGTATCTGTGCATACATACATAGTTTATATAAAGTATTTTTAAAAGTAAATGGAACCAGAGCTCAACTTGTGGGATGGCAATAAATACATTTACAACTTGTGGGATGGCAATTATAAAACTGTAAGCTTCTTAAATGATAATTTTAGAAAACAGGCTGTGAACATGCATACTGTAAACTCTATGGTAGCCACTAAAAAAGCTCAATAAAGAAACACAGCCAATAATATAGAAAATTAAAATTAAAAATTAACAATTTTTAAAACCTTCAATTCAAAGAAAGACAATTAAACTAATACTGGACAAAAGAAAACAAATAGCAAGATAATGAATTTAACATAAACCAAAATAATAATTAAGTTAAATGTAAATAAAACTACAAAAAAAAATAGAGACTTCTCACTGGATTAAAAAAAAAAAAAAACTGGGACTAAACTATATGCTATTGACAACAAAGTCACTTTAAATATAAAGACAGGTTGAAAGTAAAAAGATGTCAAAAGATCCACCATGCAAATACTAAGTATGTCAAAGTAACTATAATGACTACATTAATATCTGCCAAAGTAGAACTAGAATATTTACCAAAGGTAAAAGGGGATACCTATTTACCAAAGGTAAAGTAGTATGAGTAAATGTCATAATAGTAAATGATTAAGAACTAAAATATAAAATCATAAATTTGTATGTATCTAGTAACAGGACTTTGAAATATATGAAGAAGAACTAAAAAAACTAAAGAGAAACTCATAAAACAGCTAAAAATTTAACATTACATTTTCATTATTATAATTAACAGACAAAAAACATTAAAAATACATAAAATTTAAAATACATTTACAACTAATATGACCTAATATTTCTAGAACACTAACTCCACAACTGCAGAATATACACTCTTCAAGAATACATAAAATAGTCACCAAAATAGGTCTTATGGAAGGCTATAAAACGTCTCAATAAATGCCAAAAGAGTGAAACCGTACAGAGTATGCTCACTGGCCCAACAAAAGTCAATGATAAAGATTTTAATATATCTGGAAAACTCTCCTAAATGTACCCACACACTTGTAACTTATAACTCAGCAGACTTGAGAAAAATGAATACTAAGCCAGCAGTTGAGAAGTCAAGAACAATTCATTCTGCATAATCCTCAAAATGTTGACAGGAATCCCACTATGAGATGGAAGATAAAGGAGGACTAAAATAAGGAGTATGTTGAATGGTTCTATGATGAAGAAATCACAATGGCTTGAGAAGATAAATATATTTACCCTAATTTAAACATCATTCAATGTATAGATGCAGCAAAATACTACATGGTGGTCTGCAAGTATGTATAATTTTTACTTATCTGCTTTAAAAGTTAAATTAAAAATAAACCAAAAAAAAAGAATATTGTTGAAAAA